GGTTCAAATAAACACAGAAAATTAAAAGGCATTAAAATAAGCTGCAACGCTTACCCTGTGGGCAAAAAAACCATGTTCGTTCTAAAAACGTTTTAAGAACGTTTTTAGAACGTTTCATGTCCACCAAATAATATTCTGGAACATTATTTGAACATCCATGTTCTTAAAATGTTCCAGAACATTATTTGGCGGACATGAAACGTTCTAAGGACGTCCTTAAAACGTTTTTAGAACGAACATGGTTTTTTGCCCACAGGGTTATTATTTTAATCCAATTTTGCTTATTTTAATACCAAAATGGATTAAAATAAGCAAAATTGGATTAAAATAATAAGCGTTGCAGCTTATTTTAATGCCTTTTAATTTTCTGTGAATCTATTCTCTGGATGTATTACTCAATAATAATTAATTTAATTTAATAATTAATTTTTAATTTATAAATTATTATTCATTATTATATATACTTTATATTATATTATTATTTATATTAAAAATGTTATAAAAAATGTTTTATATAAAAATAATAAACTAATATATCGTACTAATTGATTATTAATTTTTTTTTTATCTAATTATATACTAATATTGAGATAATTTGTGAACATAAAGGGCTTAAATATAAAGTTCAGGGATTTATAAATGCGAGAGACGCTGAAGGGACGAAGCCCAGTGACAGGGTTAATGTACTCATATGGGTTTTGCAGTGCGCCAACGTGTCACGCACACATATACATATACTATTCATGTACGCTTACAATTCTGCACGAAATACCATTGCAACTTTACATATACTAACATGTACGCCTATGAAATATATATATATATATATATATATATATATATATATATATATATAAAAAATTGCCTGTGTTAGTGTAAATCATACACACATGGGTCCCTAAGACCCTTATAGTCGGTTTATGAGGCTTTTTGCTATATAACATACAGTTGCATACTCTCACTGTGGTTTGCATTATAGTGCATGGGGCATCATGAAGCCTATATATTTATATATATATATATATATACATATAGGTTTGTCGCGAAGTTCACTGTCCCATACCAAGGCCACAGGGGCACCGCCCCACTGAACCAATTGTGCCACTTTTATAATCGTTAGCTCATTTTTCTTTTTGTTCATATTACTTATAAAAATCCCTTATTTATTCTAATTATTTCATTAATTAATTTTAACTTATATTTTTTGGATGAATAATAATAATAATAATATTCCCGATACAAGTTTCATAATTAAGTGTAAATCTCTCATGTATATTTGTATATTCTGCTTATATAATCAAATATTTGAAAAATAACATATTTTAGCGAAAATATTTCTCAAATATAAAATAAAAAATTGAATTTTTATTAAAACTTTTGTAATGTGAAAAAAATACAATATTATACTTCTGAAAAATATAACTGCATTCTGGTTTTTTATTTTTTTTTGCGATAAAAGAGCAAGTAAATTGCGAACCCCGGGAAATGCGTTGGGGATTGGGAACCCCCAGACTGGAGGGGATTGACCCAGACACCCCCTCCAGTGCAGACAAACTCTCTCTCTCTCTCCACTGACTCGCCATAGCTTCCCTAAAGAGCCCTACTCCAGTAATCGGGGATGGGGTGTAAAACCCCATCGGTTTGATAAAGCATTGCACCGCCCACGCACGATGGATGTGCCATCATAGTTTTTGATAAAAGGAGTGAAAAAAAAAAAATTTTTACCATCTAGATATTAATAACTACAAACAATAATCTAATAATATATTTATATACACAGAGAAAAAAATTTATTTGTTACAAATACTCGATTATTTGACTATTATCAAAATAAATATTTAATTGAACCAAAGATAATTTTTATTTGAATTAAATAAATTGTATTTGAAACCAATAATTTCTGTATTTGAAAAAATATATACTATTTAATTGACTCAAATAAAAAATTTTTTGGTTCAAGTAAATATTTATTTTGATAATAATCAAGTAATCGAATATTTAAAACAAATAAAATTTTCTTTTTTTTTCAGTGTAGTATTTTAATCTTCTATTTTTTATTTACCATCAAATAAATATAAAAAATATTATTTATAATTTTTTTATACAAGAAAACAAATTATAAAAAAATTATCTGACTTTTTAATTATTTTTTATTAATATTAATATTTTATAATAGTTAAAATTTTTTAAATTGAATTTAATAAAAATTAATATCAATTTATTAATAGTAATTTCTAATAATTTTGTTTGAATTAAAAAATAAAAATTATTTTTCGAAAAATGAATTTTTAGTCAATTTTATTTTTTTTTTGGCTTAAATTTTGATCAGTAGATTTAAAAAGATTTCAATGGCAAATTTGTAAACAAACGACGCGCAAAGTACGTTGCGCTTAAAATGGTATTTTGAACCCCAACAAGCCAGACAGACAACATCAGTAAGAACAATATGAAACGGGGTGACCCAGACGCCTACCACAAACTATCTCAAAAATAAAACGAAAAAAAAAATTTTTTCAATAATAATAATTATATCTGTTAATACAACAAAATTTTTCAAAAAATTTTAATTATATTTAATTATATTTTTATTCGTCATACTTTTTGTTTTAATTTTTTTATATTATCGGAATTAAATAATTGTTATATATTATATTTAATTTTTTTTTAAATTTAATTATTGAAATCTAATTTATTTAATTTTTATTTAATATTTAAATTAATCCTTATTTATTTAATTGAATGGAAAAAATAAGAGACTATAATTATTAATTAATTTAACAATGAGTTTAATATATAAATATTTTTCTTTTTAGAAAATATCGCACCCTTATAGCAATGAAGTAAGAAAACGAGGAAGGCATTGTAAAAGGGTGGTTATGTTAGAAAGGAAGGAAGGAAGCAAGGGCGGAGTATATTCGAGGAGAAGTGGAAAGGAGAAATTGTTGAGGGGGGGGGGGATTGTGGCCGTGGTGTTGCTGACCTGACGACCGCTCTAACCTTGCGTCCCAACGCTACACGATAAGATTAAATTTTATCTCATGGATTAGCTATAGGCATCAAATAATCTCAAACTTTTTTTTTGAGTAATGAAGATTTTTTGACCTTTTTTTGTAATTAATTTAAAGATAATAAATTCCCAAATTGCATTTTTAAACAATTGTTAAAATTTTACATTATAATTAAATTTATTTTACTTTTTTTTTAGTACTAAAAATATTATGCAATAAAAGTAAAAAATTTTAGTTAAAATTTTAATTTTATATATTTCTCTTCATTAAATAAAAAAAAAAATTATTAAAAACCTACTCTAGTAGTTTTTATTTTCATGGAATAATTAAATTATTCATTAAATACTTATTAAAAATCATATATAAAGCATGGATATACATATAAAACACACAACTTGTATTATAAATTGATTAATCAATAAATGAAAATAAATTTTAAATTAGTATTTAAATTTGACTCACGTTGTTGAAATATTCGCGCCATTTTGCCAGTTCAATCTCCTATCATGGTTGTCTACTTGCAGGGGCACTTTGAATTGTTTTAAGGTTATGATCACAATATACACTACACATCACTTTATTTTAAAAGAAAAACATTTAATGGAATTTAAAAACAAATCCGCACTGTTTTATATAGTGAAAATAAAACCGAGAAAACTTAAAATTTAGAAAACACTAAATAGCCATGAGTCGTGGTCGCCGGCGACTATTTTACTTTTTTGACATATTATGCAAAAAAAAACACTCCCGGAACGTGAACATTTACTCAAATCGGAAACAAAACCCAATATTTTTTGTTATTAACGCAAGATTTATTATTTAAACACTTTTAACACAATTGATTTCATAGATTTCGTACTTTCGTATTCACGCAAACGCGCACTGCTTCGACTCGCCAAGTGAACTAAACTGCTGAAGTCAAATCACCAACCAAAGTTTTGATCACTTCAAAAATATTAACGACATCTCAAATAAATGTTCAAATCGTAGTAAATTATTGCCAAATTAATAATATACTATAAATATAATTATTTTTTCAATATTTATAAATATTAAATTATTATTAACTGAAATATGAACGATCAATTGATTCACGTTGTAGAAGAACGAACCCCAACTCGCGGTTGCCTACTTTAGGGGTTTGAAATAATGGTTAATTTAGGTTATAATTACAAAAATCAACGAAATCCCTTTACTTTAAAAGAAAAATATTTAATTGAACTTAAAAACAAATCCGCACTGTTTTATATAGTGAAAATAAAACCGAGAAAACGTAAAATTTAGAAAACACTAAATAGCCATGAGTCGTGGTCGCCGGCGACAATTCTACTTTTTCAACATATTATTATGCAAAAAAACACTCCCGGAACTTGAATATTTAGTAAAATCGGAAACAAAACCTGATATTTTTAGTTATTAACACAAGATTGATTATTTAAACACTTTTAACACAATTGATTTCGTAGATTTTGTACTCACGCAAACGCGCACTGCCTCGACTCGCCAAGGAACTAAACTGCTGAAGTCATATCACCAACCAAATAGTTTCAAGTATTCTTTCAATAATTATATTCACAATTTCTTAGATAAAATTATAGAACATAATGAGTGCTATCGCAAAAACTAATAATATACCATAAATATAATTATTTTTCAACATTCACAAATAAAATATTAAATTATTTTGCATAATATGGAACTAAATATGACTTACTGCGTAGTAAAAATTCAACCGCCTTTTACAATTTATGTTGTGAACGCTGATTGGTCAATCAAAAAGAGCGGCAGAACAAAAATTTGAATTTGAATTCAAAAAATTTGTCGAACTTCTAAATACCAAATTTATAATAATATGTAATGTAAAAAAAAATAAATCCAAATATTTACTTAAATTATTCAATTTCAAAGTATAATTTAATTAAAAATTCTACTTTTTAATTTTTGAAAAATAAATAAAATAGAGATATTTAACAAAGAATTAAATGCTTTAAATTCAATTAAAATTTTTGTAAATTTAATGAAAACGCCGAAGAAGTTACATTGAAATATATATACATACAAAATTTTCCTTTGTTTACATTCTCAGATGAAAACCACGCTAATTAATAGCTGGGGATAATAGTCGTTATTATAATTATGTGATTACAATTACAAAAAATGAATAAAATTGATTCAAGATTTCCGCCAAACGTTTTTCTTGTACATTTTATATAAAAAAAAAATTAAATTCTTACATACAACATTGTCTTTAGTGATATATTTTTTTTATACATTAAAAACTGAGCCATAGTCTAAATGTAACTTTTCGTCATTGAATGATTATTTATTGAGAATCTTTTCTAGAAAAATATTTTTACTATATATGCTCATGTCAACAATATGAAGTATAAAGTTTTAACATGTTATTATATGAAAAGTTCTCCTGACAAATGCCGTACAAAATCTATAATTGTCGTTCCATTTTTTTTCAAATGTTTTTTATTTTTATTTTATTTTTTTTTGTTTCTTTTTTACTGCTCGCTACTCGCACATAACAAAACGTTTAATTATAATGTAAATAACATAAGCACGTTTAATTAAACATATTATTTTAAATGAAATCTTAATATAATATATATGTATATACTTAAAGGTTTAAAAAGAAAAACAGACAAAATTTCATGCACTTATGATCTACATACTAAAATAATTTTGACAAACTTTCTCTTTTATAAAAATAAATGATTAATGATAAAGAAAACAATTTTTTTTAAACAAAATTAAATACATCAATTTATTTATCAAAAAAAAAGCGCAATGAAATATTGTTCGTAGAATTTGAAAATTTCACGAAAAAATTTAGAAAAAAAATAATAAATTTATTTTATCCAAATAGATAGAAAAAAAGATATTCTTTTTTAATGCAAGTAGCACATTATTATGTATATCATAGCATACAAAATTGAAATCGATCCCCAGCTTCTAGGCCACGAAATCAAGTTTACCCCGAAAGAATGTTTTTCAGGTAATTATTTACTTGGTATTACAAGCTAAAGTCCCAAACTATATAATATATATATGCTGCGGTATATATTCGACGCGAATTTCCCGATTCGTGAAGCGTCCTCGTAAAGCATTTTCTTTATCTTCTTTTTTTTTTTTACTCGATAAAGTGTAAAACGTATAAATAAACTACACTTATGTTTTACTATTAACATGTGAAATTAGCTAGCATTTGCGGGATATAACAATTATTTTAGGTACATTGTTATAAATATACTATTATAAATGAAGGTATACAATATTATTTACAGGAAGAGCTCTCAAAAATCTTAACCTGCCAGTTATTATATTATATTTTCATCAATAATGAAAAATCATTATTGAATATTATTATTAATGTTACTATTATTATTCTTATTATTATTATTGGGCACTATTGCAAAAAATTTGTTGAAAAAAAGTTCAGTAAAATATTTGTAAAAAAGGCAAATGAACAAATAAAAGTATTCCATTAATATTTAACAATATCGTAGAGTATAAATATTGTAAGTACTGAAAATACAAGTCTCTTTGATATTAAGAATACATTGTTTAGAAATTGTGAAAAAAAATTCATCTTTAATAATAATGCTGTTTTTAAAATGCAAACAAAAAAATGTGTAAATTATTTACACTCAGACTTAAATGCAACTGTGAGCAATAATCTAGTTTAGTATTAATTGTATCGGACTTTTCTTTTATTAAATAGTATCAAAGTGTTAAAAATGAAAAAAAAAATGATTGTAAATAAATTAGAAAATCAGACTCTTAAACTGGCAGCATGTGTTTGTGTATATATATATATATATATGTATATAGAGCACAGACCAATTTGTTGACTATTGATAATCATATACCTTCAGAGATCTTAAAGATAACTTAAAAAATATGCACGCAACATTTCTTCACACAGCCACGCATTCATAATCGACTTATATATCTAATTTTCGACTATACCCATACGTCGGATTAATAACCGGAATTACGCAAATTATTTCTTTTTCTTCTTCTTCACATATATGGTACTTCTGTTTCCTCTATTACTTCTTCTAACGTTGATGGTTCCGCGTAACCTCGAGCTATTAATTCGTCAGCTAGAGAGATAACACCATGTTTTTGAATATTAAGATATAGACTCACGTACGTATGAGAGTCGACATATCCTTCAATTTGTGCTTGACCAACTATTCCGCTGCATATTTGAGACACTAAATCGAATGCCTCCTGTTGCCATACACCTGAGTAATAAATATTAATTAATTTAAGAATTTAAATCATTTAAATAAAAATATAACACATTTTTCTATATAAGTGATTTTTAGAAGAAAATGTCAAATTTCGTTCACATACCATTAACTGGTCGAACATTTGCTATAAATACTTCAATGGCTTGAAATGGTAAAGCGAGATAATCAGATCTTATTTTTCTCATATCGGCACTGCTAAGTGTCCAGTAACCGCCATGATCAACAAGACGAACTAAATGTTGTTCTCCTTTTGGATCTGGATTCTCTACGTAGACTCTCATCCACCTATTGTATAATTTTGCTACAAAAATCATACCTCCTGCAACAGATATAAAAATAGCATTGAAAAAAATATTACAATTTTTTTATTGTAAACGTTATTATTTTATAAATTCTTTTATATTAATTTTGAAATTTTTCTTACGACATTTATCAAATATTTCGAAATAGATAAAATTATAAATGAACTACTTTTTTTTTTTTGTGTAAGTAGAACTACATAGATAAGACATATTATTTATTTCAAAAACAATTTTTCCACTTTCAAAGAGAAAAAAATTTTAAATTTCAGGGTCAAAATCAAAATAAGGTAATTTAAATACTTTTTTTCAAAAAAAAAAAATTGAAACTTACGACAAAGTTCATCAGGAACTGGAGGTGATTCTGTTGTTTCATATAACTGCGTTATGTTTTCATCTAAAGTCCTAAGCATTGGATATGTTGGATGTGTAGGAATTTGTATAAAAAGACGATTTGGCTTGACTATATAACACACCAACACATCATTATTGACACCTTCGACTAATGATAAATGCATCAATTCAGAAATCCATGGTGTCTCCTCTTGTGTTTTTGGAACTGACAACTGATCTAAAGTGAATTGAGGATATTTCTTCTCAGGGAATTTTTGTCTTATCAGACTTAACGCTAAATTAATTCCCTCTGGAGAACCTTCTATGACACATAATTTATGATTTTTCATATTTGTAAAACGCTTCACGGAAATTCTAACATCTGTCTTAAGTCGAATATTTTGAAGAAAACTTCCTTTCTGACCAATCAATTTTCCAACCAAATTTAGTGGCACAGCAAAATCATAACTCGTACGAATATTAATGTTTGTTGGTCCTTTTATACTTCCGCCTTAAAAATTATTTAAATTTTATTATTAAATTCTTTCATTTTGATTAAAAAAATAAAAAAAAAATGTACATACCTTTTCCACTGTCTGTACTTCCTTCGCTTCTTGCTTCATCAGTGAGACTTCCATCTAAAACAGCAGACAGAGGACTATGATTCGCGGAATCTCTTTCGCAAAGTGTTTGACCTTTTGTTTCATTGTTCACGATATTATCACCAGACTTGTTACAATTATCAGGCACACTTGTATTTTTCATTTCTTCTTTAACAGAAACCTCTTTGTTTAAACGATCCTCAGTTATTTTATCTTCTTCAATAACATTGTCACATATTTTCGGTAGTTTAATTTCACTTTCAATTTGTGTTTTATCAAAGAATGATCTATTATTTGACATCATTTCGAAACAACTTGATCTTGGATTACTACCTAATTTAATTTTACGTGTTTCCTCGACAATTTCTTCTTCGTCTTCTTCTTCTTCTTCGTCGTCGTCGTACCAGGGTATACGTTCTTCAATTGATTTAACTGATTTCATTGAAATAGGCAATGTCACTGATGGCTTTCTTCCAGGTATATCTAAACTACTGCTAACTTTTCTTGGTGAGCAAATATCAATAGTTGGAGGTGATGATGATGATGATGCACTAAATGAAAATGAATCGTCTGTATTGATGCCAGAATCGCATTCAATTTTTTTCGTTTTATTTATATTATTATTTGCTTTTATTTCGCTATCCGATTTGGATTTCCCACCGGGATCAACTCGGTCCGCGCGTCGACGTCTGTACCAAAAAAGTCCAAGTATTATGGCTAATGTTGGAAAAGTCCACTTCACAAAATGCATTGATGTTGACGGCATCGTGTAAGTCCACGGTTGCAACAATTAAAATAAAACACAGCAATCTGTAACAAATTCAAAATTTATATTTCAATTTGTAATTTTATAAAAACTATATTAATTAAAGAAAAATTTAATAATTTTTAAAAATACTTAAAAACTTTTTTAAAATGCTACATTTTTTTTAGAGATAGATTAAGATTTTGTACGGATGTTTTTTCCTATTACAGAAATATAAATTTATGTGCTCACTTAAAAAAATATATAAATAGATAATGCTACAATGTAGAAAAAATTGTAACAATTCATAAATATACTTTAAATTACGATATTACTTTACTAATAATAAACTAAATATTTAACTGAGAATAGTTTGAATATTTTAATAAATTAAATTTTTTCATAGTAATGTAAACGAGAATTTGAATTTATATAATTATTTTACATAAAAATTCAAATTCTACAATTTAACCTTCTATGCATAGTACGTAGTATTGAAAGATAAAATGTGTATTAAAAAAAATGATAAAAAAAAAAATAAAAATAAGCGTGTAGTCAACAAATAATATAAATTTTGTTAAAAAATAAATTCTACCTATCATTTGACATGAACGTAAACAAAAATGCCATTATAAAATATATTTTATATTTTATAATAAAATAATGTAACAAAAAATATTTATTTATCTTATAAACAAAAGTAAATAAGAGAAAAATATGTATATTTTTGGAATAAATACACGTAAATAATATTTACATTTTAATAATACTTAAATGAAGAAAAATATAATCACATATAGTCATTGAAGGATAATATTTTAATGACATTACAGAATAAAGTTCTCAAATAACCATGATTATAATGTTGAGCGATTTAGACATGCTATCTTGCTTTTGGCGATATTTTAAATATGTGGAACTTTCGTAATCTTAATACGTGGTGGCGAATGAAATCTACATTCCTTATGAAATTAGGTCAATTTCGAACTATTTCAATGTATGTAACATTCTATCTATGATAAATCATTACTGAATTTCGTTTATTAAATTATGAATTTAAAAAAAAATCATCCAAAATTATTCATTATTCATTTCAATGAAATAATTACAGACACTTGAAAAATTTAATTGTTCAAATAAAAAAAAAAAAAAAATTTTTCATTTTATCTTTTTAATTCAAATTTCCTATGCAAATTAAGTTATAAATGTTTCAATGTACTAATTTTTTTTATTCAATTTTATATTATCAAATATTTTAAATATTAATAATTATAAAATTCTATTTTATAAATAATTTTGAAAATTAATCAAATAATTTGCCAAAAAATATTTAAATAATAAAATAATTTTTTACTAAAAACAGAAAGCAATTCAAAAAAGAAACTCCTAACTTCATTACAAAACAGTAATTAAAAAAATGAATAAACAAATAATTTCTGTTTGAACGCAATAAATATCAATTTTTCAATCAAGAGTTTAAAAATTCTTTAATTTTTTAGTAACCAATGTGTAAGAATTTAATAAAATTGTTTGACATATGGTAGAATAAAATTAGCCAAGAAATACAAAATTATTACTAAAAATTATCGGTTTTTCTTTTTTTATTTACATGACTCAACGACTTACCAAGTTTGAATCCATGCTGATGACTATTATTATTTTTTTTTAATAATTCAAACTAATAAAAATTCTAATAAGTTTTTGATAAAAAAAAAATATCAAAAATTTTAATTATAAAATAAATTAGAGGACAAAAAAAAAATACACGACAAAAATTATATAAAATAAAGAACAAGAAACAAATAAAATTTTAATATGGAACGGAGCTGCTTGTACACGCAGCACTTCGTAGTTGGCAAGGTACTATCGTTTGCATTAAAGATCACCGGCTTTCAGCACGTGTCTTTCTAAAACCAGTAAAACCAGAATATATATACGCCTCTGAAAAGCGCAGGCGCTTCTTTAATCTTTTCAAACACGTGAGACTAAAGACTAAAAGAATCCACGTGTGAATTTTAAGGGGAAAAAAAATTTTTTTTTTCTTTGAAATATGAATAACAAATTCCATCGAGAGTGGTCAGTTTTCTAATTTTCCTTTCTATATAAACTCTAAACTTTCAAACCAAAATTTCTATTGTATTTTTTCAATTTTCTAAAATTCTATTAATTTTAATTAAATCAAATATTTTTTTTTTATTTTCTTCAAAATAGTGTTTAATTTAATTTTCAGTATTTTTAAATAATAAATTTTCAGAATCATTTTTTGAATTTTAATTTTATTAAATTTCAACGTTAAGAATTTAATTTTTTATTTATAATTAAATAATCGTTGTTTATAAAAAAATATTAACGAAAAAAAATTATTCCTTGCACATAAATTAAAATTGTTGATTTAATTTTTTCCATAAATAAAATTAAAAGAAATGCATTAACTGCCCGAGAAGATTTCTCATCTCGTTGCATCTTTCCGTTACTATGGAAGAATAAAAAATAAAATTTCAAAACCGGTCACTCCTGCCACAAACCATCTTTTCGATATTAAATCAGAGCTTCGTCAAATATTTTAAACTATATTTCAAATAAAATATTTGTCTACTAAAGCATATTTTTCTAAAAAAAAAAAAAAATATATATTCGAAATCACTTTTTAATTAAAAATATCAAGTCAATATTATAATTCAAACATTTTGTTAAATATTTAAATTCATAAATAGAATTGTAAAACAATGTTTGAAATGTTTACAAAATATTTAAAATTGAATAGTGCGTAAATAGATTCATGAAAATTTTATGAGATTGTATTCTTATTAAGAAACAATGTTTAATGCACATACATAGGTATATATTTGAAACGTCAGCATATTTATGACTTATGAATCATCAAATAATTTGAAAAATTGCAAATTTTTTTTTTACATAATGCATTTTCGTTTAATAATTCCCAAGTTTCATTAAACACTGTTTATTGTTTCAATGAAAATGTTTTTTTTTTTTTCTATTTTTTGGTCCTAAAAAAAAATTTGCAAATTGTACTTAAGTGTGATTTACAAAATTAGATAAGTGTTAAATTAAATGAACAGATAACAAGTGTGTTGTATGTGGTGAAGGTGTTCTCGGTTCAACGTGCGCTTGGAATGTCCAATCGTCAGGTTAGTGAAGTAACTAGTGTAAAGAACAAATAAAATTAAGAATTTCCTAACTGGAAATAAAACTAAATACATTCGAAATTTAGACAATTTTGATTATTATTAAGACAATAAAAATGATAAATTGAGAATCCGCATTTTTGATTTCAGTAAAATAAAAAAAATTTTTTTTTTTACAAAATTACTTCAATTATTTTGTAATTTTTAAACATATTTTATTGCAAAACTCGAAAGTGGACGGAAATTATATTTAAACATTTAATTTTAGTTAAGAAATTATTTGCTTTAGTTTTCCTTTCCCTTCAATCGCGCTGTATAATTACGTGGCGTCTAGAATCGACAAAATTTCACGCTTAACTAAAGTGCATTATTACTGTCGTTCGAGAAAAAAAAGGCCTAAACTAAATTTAGAGCGGAAGACATAAAAATTTACAAAAATACTAAACTACTGTATTAGTAAGAATCCTAATCAGCGAATTATATCATCAGGAGATAAAAAAAAAAATACTATGAAATCTCTAAAATGAAAATTCGAATTACTTTGCAAATATTTGTATTATACAATTCATTAATATTAAAATATTCATAAACTTGAAATATTTACAACAAAATTTTCAAGATCATGTTTTATTTGAAAATATTTACAAGAGTATTTCCAAATTTTTTAAAACGTCTTCAATTTCAAATTACATGTGGGATTTACAAGACATTGCACTTTAGATTTATATTAAAAATCCTTAGCGACCGGTTCCTCGATTACAAGATAAGTTTTTAATAAAAATTCACAATCATTTATTTGCACGTAAAACGATGCTAATTCACATTTAAACTAGATATCTAATACAAATATTATTATTATTTTTTTTTTTTTTTGTCTTAATTCATTCATTTTCATCAAATTTTGTATATTAGTTTAACACAAGCTTTAAAATAAATATTTATTAAAGAAAACAAACATTTACCTTATGTAATTATTAATTTAAAACAAATAATTAAATTGCATAAATTATTACCAATTTCAATACATTGTTTAAAAAATTATTCAAAATTTAATTGTTGATTACAATGACAAGTCTTTAAAAATATATGAAAAAAAATTTTTTGAAATTACAAAATTAGACAACACAATATGAAAATAATGTTTGAAACAAAATATCAGAAAGCTAGAAACTCCTAATAGAAACGCATACGTCTTTAAAGAATGCTCCACTCACGCTATTTCCAGATGTCGTCCATAACTGACCCAACAAAGACTTCCCTATTATGTATTACCGAGCAAATCAATATTAAACAAAAAAAAATACCCCCTTATTTTTAGATTCAATAACAAAATAAAAATGAACTTTCTTATTTCACTTGGCAAAAAATAAAAACACCACAAAAGTCTTTTTTTAACATTTTTATAATTAACGCGTCCATGTTGCTTCAAAACCTTTGATTCATCATTTCTCTTAAAGAAAGCTTTAAAGATCAACGACTTTATTTAATTTTAAGGAAAATAAAAATTATTTTTAATTACATCTTCTACAGTATCAAAACACTTTTCGAATTATTTAAATATCAGTTTTTAAATGCAAAAAAAGTAAAGGAAGTAGAAAATAGAAAAAAAAAAAAAGACAAAAGCCGCTCGGCATAAGAAAATCAGGGCGAACACGAGGGCGGTATGCAAGTAAGATTTATTGAATGTACTCACCGATAGTTCCTTTTTTTTATTCTAAACCAACAACTCTTATGCACGGTTTTTGTGTTTCCTTTGCTGATTTATGAATAAACAATATTTTTGATGATTTTTCACAAAACAATCTTGTGTTTCCACGTGATCACAATGTTTTCCTTGGTTTCAATAAGACAATATGGCGGTCCACGATGCAAGAACCGCATGGGGAGCAGGGGATAAGTCAGGGTAGCCAATCTATAGAAATAACATTAAGAACAATGATTTACGTACTTTACCATAGTTACGCTGGACAATTTTTCACATAAAGGCTATTTCATACAAATTAAGTAATTGTGAATGTACCTTAAATTTTTTATCAACTACTTGAATCAAATTAATGTTTGTTTTTAAATGTCTGCTTATATTTAATATATTATTTACAAAAAATGTAATATTTTTAACAATTTAGATAAGTCTTTAAAATAAAACAAAGAAATTTTTATTATTTATTAAAAACTCTATATTAATGACAAATTAAAATAGAATATAAAGTTTAAACTTCTTTAGACTCAAGTTGTAATTAGTTTGTTATGATTCATTTTCATTATGATTGAAGTTTATTTTTTAATTGTTTGCAAAAAGTCGTATTAATATCTGCAAATTGGAAAAATACATTTGTAAGTATGTTTTATATATAATAATTGAAAATAATACATTAGTCGTAGTTTATGTTTGTTTTTCTGGTAATAGCAAAACAAAAACAATCGCACATAACCTATAAATACCTGCGAATTTGTATATATTTTTGTTTAATACAAAATTAACTATTTAATTTTTACGAGATGTAACTTTTTTTTAACATTTGTATAATATACAAATGTGTATTCTTTATATTTTTTTTAATAAACATTTTCAAAATTATAAAGTAATATAATAAATTATTATTAATTTCTACTATTTTATGTTAAATATTTTTAATATTCTAGGTAAAATGAAATGTTTTCTGTCCGTTTGGTAATTGCAGACAGTTATCAAGCTTCACCGCTTATTCCATTTGATTTATCAGTCTCAGAATTTCGAAATTCTAGAATTAAATATGTACCAACAATTAGAGTCTTTGGTTCCACTCTTTCAGGTAAATATTTACATTTCTTTTTTTTTTGGTAAAATTTGAATGTTTTATTTTTAATTAAATGTGATATTTATATTTAATAGAAAATTTTTATTTTAAATTAAATTTCATAGGCGAAAAAGTTTGTTTACATATTCACGGTGTATTTCCATATATGTATGTACCGTACGTTGGTGGAGACAATCCTGAAGATTTTACACATCGTTTAGCAAAAGCTTTAGATTACACAATTAATGTTTCACTTGGCTCTGCTGGATCAGACAATCAACATGTATATAAAATTCAACAAGTTAAAGGAGTGTAAGTTTTGATTTTCTATAATAATAATAATTTTTGTTAATTTTCAGCTTAAATTATGAAATTGTTAATGTTAAGAAAATTAATTTTTATTATTTCTTAACAGTTACTTAAATTATGAGAAGAATGAAAGTTAAAACAAGTGGCAAGTTTGGTATTTGAAAAAAAAAATTTATATTTTATGAAATCTGATTTTTTACAGGCCTTTCTATGGTTATCACGAAAAATTTCATCACTATTTTAAAATTTATTTTTATAATCCAGCTATGATTAAGAGAGCAGCAGAATTATTACAGGTAATAAACGAAATTTAATAAAAAATTTGTAAAATTAGAAATTTCAAATATTTTACATTTTCCAGAATGGTTCAATACTTAATCAAACACTTCAACCACACGAAGCGCATATTCCATTTATTTTGCAATTTATGATAGATTATAATTTATATGGAATGAGTCTTATAAATTTAAAGAATGTAAAATATCGTCAAGCAAATCGTCGTGGACCAGATGGTAAATTAAAGAACGAATCTCTTACTCCACATTTTGAAACAAGAGATTATTTACCACCCACTATTAAGAGACAAAGTACTTGTGAAATTGAAGTTGATGCATGGGCGTCTGATATTTTAAATAAGGAAGCAATTGAAAAAGGTTTAGATGTAAATCCCGGATTAGCTGCAATTTGGAATGAGGAAAGAGCCAGACGAATGTTGGCAGGATTCGATGGAGGAGATTCACAAATAGCACCACCAAAAAGTCCATTTAGAACAAATTTACCACCAACCGATAATGATTTATTACAAATGCAACGATTTCAACGAAAACTCATGTTTATCACACAAAATGATGAGAGTTCAACTTCTTTTAATTCAGATTCTTCGTATTATCCAGTTGAAGTTAATGATAAAATTAATTTAATTGATGCTTCACATCTTGAAAGACACATTGGTCCAAAAAATGATGAAGATAGAGTGAAAATAGTAAATGATTTATCAACATCGTCAGATACAGACATGTCATTGCATCTTGATCAATCAGAGGAATTACGAGAATTACGAGTTAATCTTGAAAGATTGCCTCTGAAAATAAATGTCCAATTATCGATAGAAGAAAGTCAAAATAGAACACTTGATCAAAGTATTTTTGATGTAGATGATGTGCCACTTGTTGATTTATTGGAGAAATTAGCTGAAAAACACAATACTGATGAACAAGTCGACGAAGATAGTATTTTAGGATCATATTGTTCGGCCGTTGCCAGTGAATATAAAAGTGACGAAGAAGTTGAAAATGAAGTTCCTGATTTAAATCTCACAGCACTTGAAATTGATAGCTTGAGTTTAAATCTAGACTCAACGCCTAGTTGTTCAGGTAAATCGAAAAAGTCTGATACGTCTTTTACTTTATTTTCCTCGTCACTCGAAAGTATAAATAAAAATGATAAGAAAGACAGTCAAAATTCTTTAAATATTCCTCAATTCGATGGCGCAAATGATTTACCAAGAAAAAGAAATTCCAGTTCTGAGAGAAGTTCATCAAGAAAAAAAAGAAAGATTGACAATAAAAATAAAAATACTTCAAATGATGTGAATAAAACATTAAATTACATTGATAAAGAATTAAAAATATCCAGTTCAAGTGAAAGTATTTCCGAATTGGATCGCACAATAATTTCCAATAATGAAATTTTCACAATATCTGAAACAAGTGATAGCGCTGAAAATCTTTCAGCAAATGCAAAAAATGATTTCACCTTGGTAGTTGAAGAAAAATTAATATGTAATTATAAAAATGTTAAAAAAAATACACTAGTCACTCGTAAAGAAGATTTATATAGTCCAAAACGTACATCGAAAAGTCCAAAAAAATCATCAAAAAGTCCAAATAAAAAATTATTAAAAAGTCCAAGTCGAAGAAGTCCCCGTAAATCATTACACAGTCCTCGACGAAATTATTCGTCATTAAATATAATAGTCACTCCTTCTAAACGTCGAAAAGAACAAGAAAAACAACAAATTCCTATACATGATGATTCCAGTGGTGATGCATTAGAAACTAATTATTTCACTCAAAAAAATGTCAATGAAAATACTTTTAAAATTGAGGCTCAACATTCCAAAGTAAAGAAAAATCTTTCCTTATATCAAAAGGAAAAGATTATAAAAAATTTTGATATTCCCGGAACGAGTAAAAATTTTTCCAATTATAATTCCGATGATGATATACTTTTTTTATCGCAAAATTCACCTGTAGAACAACATGCAAAAAGTAATTTAAATTTATCCAATTCACAGAAATTTAATTCAAAAACAAAAATTGAAAAGAATAAATTCTTGTCAAAAAAGTCTCTATTTGGAAATAGTTCCTCAAAATCGGAAAATAAATTAAATTTATCATCATCATCATCATTTCAAAAAGAAGAAAAAAAAATTGAAAAAAATTACAAGGACAACGAAAGTGACGAGGAATTATTTCTAACACAAAAATCTCAATTCGAAAAGTCAAAGGAATTTAATTCATTGAAAAAAACATTTTTATCACAAAAATCAAATGAAAAGAAACAATTTAACTTAAATACATCATTTTTTTCACAAAATCTTTTCAAATCACAAGAAGAGGAAATAAAAATTCAAAACAATAATATTGAAGACAATGAAAGTGATGGTGAATTATTTTTAACACAAAAATCTCAATCGGAAAAAAGTATTGAAGATTATCAAGAATCATCGAAAAAAATTCTAAATTCACAAGAATCAATTGAAAAAATATCGCCAAATGAAATCGATATGAATTCTGCATTTTTAATTGAAAAAAATAGAAAAGCTTCTGAAGATGAAGAAATTAATAAAAATTTACAAAATGACGAAAATTGGTCCCTATCACAGAATTCAATTGATGAAAAATGTTTAGCTGATGATGAATCAAGTAAAGGATCATTTCCCTTAGGACAAAAATCAAATTCAAAAACAAGTTCTCAAAATGATGTAAATTCTTCATCAATGGAATCAAATGACAAATTTAATGAAATTAATTTAGAAAAAAATGATAGTATTTTATCACAAATTGAAAATAACAATATTTATGATCAAGAAACTGATTCTTCGGATTCTGAGGAAAATTTGGAAATTTTACTGAAAAATTTATCATATTCAGAAAATGAAGATGTATCATCTAAAAATTGTGAATTAATTGAGGAAATAATTGAAGAAGAACAAAATCTATCAAGTGACGATACATTAAAAGCAGAAGATATAAATACATCTGATTTGAAAATTGAGGAAGAAATTAATAATGAAGTGTGTGATGCAAAAAAATTGTTAACCGTTACTTTTACCGAATTCACAAATACTGAATTAAATTCTAGTTTCAAAACAATGAGAAAATCAAATTTACATTTAAAAAATCGTTTAATATCAATAACAACAAAATTTTGTGCACCAACTCGTCAAAATATTATTGACAGTATGAATATCTATGGTATACCTTCATATAGAAATCAAGAACCATTTTACAGTAATCAAAATGATGTACGACAACATAAAGATACAGCACATCAAATTATAAATAAAAAAGAAATTTCCGAATTTCCTTCATTTAAATCGCAAATTGGTGGTGTTGTTGGTATTAAATTATGGCGTCGAATGAAAGTTAATGAATTTCATTCGTATAGTGGAAAATTAAATTCCGCTAATATTAAAAAAAATCTTGCTGAAAGACGTTTAATAACAATCACTCCTCTTTATTTACCTCCTGATAGAAAAAATGTCATCAATTGGATTAAAAGTAAAAAACGTTTAAAACAACAAAAAGATGAGAAAATTTTGCCAAAAAAAGTTGAAAGAATGAATAAACATAGAAATCAAGAGAAAATCGATCAAAATCAAATGAATATAAAAGATGAACAAGCGAATAGTGGAAGTAATAGTGAAAATTTATCTTCAAAATCAAAAGAATTAAATAGTTCTGAAGGAAAAGAACGTGAGAGTATTGGTAATAATTCTTCTTTGTACAGTACATTGAGACATTCTGAAATTTTTACAAATCAGAAGAAAAATGAAAAATTAAAAGGTGTATCACTTGGACAAATAGATTTTTCCATGGATGAAACAAAATCGGAAACTGATGTTGCGAATCAAAATTTACAAAATGCCAAAGCAATAACAACAGTGAGTTTTATAATTATATTATAGAATAATGTTAAAGTTTAAAAAAAAAATTAATTATTTTTTTTTTCAGTATCAATATTTGACAATATTGTGTTTAGAAGTTCACGTTACAACTCGCAAAGATTTTCTTCCCGATCCTCGACATGATCAAATCGAAGCAATATTTTACATTATTCACAATGACGTTCCACTTGATTCAAATGTAAAGCGTTTGGAACAAGGTAAAAAAGAATAATTTTCTTATTTTTACTTAAAAAAAAATTGTTTTTAACTTATTTTTCAGGAGCAATAATTGTTGATTTAAATGAAACGCGAAATTTACGGGGACTATATCCAGAATGTAAAATTACATACGTAACATGTGAAGCTGATTTATTTTGCAATATTATTTCATTGATTGGCGAATATAATCCAGATATTTTAATTGGTTGGGAATTAGAGACCCTATCGTGGGGTTATATTTTTCAAAGAGCTGGACATTTAGGAACAAGTTTTGCATCGACCATATCACGAATACCTGGAAGTAAATGCTCTTGGGAAACTCAAGCATTAGATTTGGAAGCATTAGCTGCTGAAATTAAATTACCTGGACGAATTGTTCTTGATATTTGGCGTATTATGAGACATGAAATTGGTTAGTAAAATATTATTATTGAAAAAGTATAAATTAAATTCAAGAATTTTTTTTTTTTCATATCTTAAAAAAAATTAATTTCAGCTCTTTTAAGTTACACTTTTGAAAATGTAATGTATCACGTGCTACGAAAAAGATTGCCGTGCCCTTCATTTAAAACACTAACTAACTGGTGGCATTCTACAGTTTTACGTTGGCGTGTTATGGATTTTTATTTGAAAAAAAATTTAGGAACTTTGAAACTTCTGGAGCAACTCGACATTATTGGTATTATATATTATTTACTAAAATAATTAATTTTTGTTTTTTACTAAAAGTCTATTATTTATTTACTGTAATAACTAAAAAAAAAAAAATATAAAATTTCATAGGAAGAACTTGTGAACATGCTCGTCTTTTTGGTATTCAATTTTTCGAAGTATTCTCAAGAGGTTCACAATTTCGAGTTGAATCAATGATGTTTAGATTAACAAAACCTTTAAATTATATTCTTGTATCACCGTCCGTGAGACAAAGAGCAGCAATGCGAGCACCAGAAGCTTTGCCATTAATTATGGAACCAATTTCAACATTCTATAGTGATCCAGTTGTAGTTCTTGATTTTCAAAGTTTATATCCCAGTATTATAATTGCATATAATTATTGTTTCTCAACGTGTTTGGGTCGTGTGGAACATTTAGGACAGTAAGTAAAATAATTTAGTTTTTAAAATATTATCTTTTTAACAATTTTTTTTTTTTTTTTTAGACGAGATCCATTTGAATTTGGCTGTACAACATTGAAAGTAACAAAAAAAACGGCTTTGAAACTTCAGGGAAAAATTAATTTTTCCCCCGTTGGCATTGGTTTTGTAAAATCGGAAATTCGTAAAGGTGTTCTACCTCGAATGTTGAGTGAAATTTTAAATACTCGTTTAATGGTGAAAAAAGCAATGAAGGATCATTCAAAGGATGATCGATCTTTACAACAGGTTCTTCATAATAGACAATTGGGATTAAAATTAATCGCTAATGTAACTTATGGTTATACATCGGCAAATTTCAGTGGAAGAATGTCATGTATTGAGGTAATTTTTTTTTTTTTTTGAAATACAGTAAATTTTTATACAAAAATTAATTGGAATTTTTTTTTTTTAGGTTGCTGATAGCGTCGTTAGTAAGGGAAAGGAGACACTTCAACGTGCCATAAAAATGGTGGAAGAAACACCAAAGTGGGGAGCACGAGTTGTTTATGGGGATACTGATTCATTATTTATATTATTACACGGAAAATCAAGAAATGAGGCTTTTAAAATTGGTGCTGAAATTGCCGACGCTGTTACAGCTGCAAATCCAACGCCAGTCAAATTAAAATTTGAAAAAGTCTTACATCCTTGCATTTTACAGGTTTTAAATTAGTTTTCATTCTGAAATATAATTTTCCACTTTTATTATTTTAATTGAAAAAAAAAATTCTTTTTGTTTAGACAAAGAAACGATACTGCGGCTATTCTTACGAAACAATTGATAATGAAAAACCGGAATATTTGGCTAAAGGCATTGAGACTGTACGTAGAGATGGCTGTCCAGCATCAGCAAAGGTAATTTTTTTTTTTTTACAAACTGATTTTTAAAAATAATTATTAAAATTTTTCTCTTCTTAATTAAAGATTTTAGAAAAAACTCTGAAAATTCTATTTGAAACAAAAGATTTATCCCAAGTGAAACAATATGTAACGCGTCAATTGGATAAAGTTTTTCGTGGTGCAGTGTCAATTCAGGATTTAACATTTGCAAGAGAATTTCGTGGTTTACGAGGATATAGTAAAAATGCCTGTGTACCGGCATTAGAATTAACACGACGTTTAATGAAAAAAGATCCACGAGCTATTCCACGAACAAGTGAAAGAGTTCCTTATATTATTGTAGCTGGAGCGCCAAATGAGGCACTTATTCATTCAGTACGATCACCAAATGAATTATTAACTGATTCAAGTTTACGTCCAAATGCTATTTATTATATAACGAGAGTAATTATTCCGCCTCTTAATCGTTGTTTAAATCTTTTGGGCGCAGATGTTCATCTTTGGTAATTAATTTTTAATTCCATAGAATAAGATCAATAATTTTAGTAATTAATATATAATGGAGTTTTTTTTTTAAAAAAAAACATTTTATAGGTTCAGAGATATGCCACATCGAGAAGTTCTGAGTAAAGTATCTTTTTTACCGAGTGATAAACAGAAAGTTACAATCTCACAATTTTTTAGCGCTCATGTCTGTTTATCTTGTGGTAATTCATCAGAGAGCAATATTTGCAAACAATGTATTGAACAACCATGTAGAACAATTATTATTTTACATGAAAAGCTTCGTTGTTTGGAAAAAAATATATTTAATACTGATGTGGTAGGGATTTTATATGTTTTTAATATTTTTTACTGTTATTGAATTTTTACTATTTTCCATTGTAATTGTTTAAATATATATGTTTATTTAGATATGCAGATCATGTACAGGTCAATTGGGCATTCCAGACTGTGAATCATTAGATTGCCCTGTTACTTATCGTCGTTCACAAGTAGAAAGGGAATATGCGTTGGCCCCCACGATACGAAAAATCATCGATGATTGGAAAATTTAGAAAAATGAGAATTATGGAAACAAAAAGTTTCCGTTGTTATTTAAATTCTTATATAGGTATTTTTCGATAGTTTAATTTATAATTTTTCATAGATATAAATTATTTGTAAATATATAAAACATTTTTTTTTTTCAAATTATAAAAAACAAGACAATTTAAATTGCAATTATGTGATCTATTTTTCTTTCTTTTTGGCTGTGTAATTATAAAATTATTTTTATAATTATAAAAAAAACAAATAAAACAATTATTTAAAATAATTCTTGAAATGTTTGACATTTTTAAAATTATTAACACTTAAAATAATTAAGACTCATAAAAATAAAAAAATTATGACAGTTAAAATATTAGGTTATGTTCCTTTGTTTTAAATTATGTAATTTTATCTTTTTGTTTGTCCAATTTTTTCTTAAAACAAATTATTATAACTAATAAACTTTTATAAAAGTTAATTTTAATAATATAAAGTAATTAAAGATAATTTTTTAATTGACATTTGCTTACCTCCTCTGTAAAAATTAAATCTATTTTATTTGATTTTTGACCCTTTAAATTAATGTAAACAGAGTTTTAAATTCACATTGTTTACATTCCTGAACCATTTTTAAAGGGAATCTGACAATTCAAAACATAACCTTGAAAATGGTAAACTGTTTTTATCTATTGATAGTAAAACAGACTTCTTTTGTCAAGTGTGGATAAAGTTGGGTATTGTAGTTGTTTTCGTCTCCGCGCTTATAAACTTCAGTCGTCTTCGTTAAACTCGTCACTCGTCATTGTCAGTCATTGTCTTGTCAATGGGTCGTGCAAAAAATGGTGTAAATGACGATACGGCCTTTTCTTTGTATGAATGACGTTTTTCAAGTTTGTTTTGCGAATGATTAATCGACGTTTGGGGAAGTTAGCGAAGTGAGGTTAGAAGTGAAGACCCCATAATACAGGAGGAAAATGGCAGAAAGAGTTGCTCCATCCCGTGTGTTTCCTACTAAAAGTTTGTACGAATTAAGTGTTATCGCTGTAGCAGATAAATTTATTACATTCAAAAAGCATCTCTTTTATCTGCCAGAAAAAGTAGTCTTTGATTTGTATTATCAGGTAAGTGTCAAAACATTCTTGCAAAAACATCTGCAAGTTGATGTCTTTATTATATATACACACCACATGTGTTTCATTTTTATTTAAGAAAAAGAAATAAAAATTTTTATTTATATTTTATAATTTTAACAATTTCATGGATTTGATTTATTTTCATACAATTTATTATATAGTTAGATGACATTTATTTTCTTTTCAAGAATTATGCGCATTTATATTTGTCATAAAGAATCATTATTGTTTGCAATGTCAGGTTCAATAAAATTACTTTATTCAACTTGAATCTTTATTGCTTCTAATTATTAACCATAAATTTTATAAATTTTTTTTTTTTTTATTTGTAGACAAGAATATTTTTCAAATAAATCGTGTTTTGTTCTTAAAACTTTGAATATGACATTTCTAAATTAATTTTTGACAGATAAACAATTTCCCAATGTTCTTTAAAATTCATATTTATGACAATATATTGAAACTATATTTATATTTAAATAAGAATTTCATTAAAAATTTATTTTTTAGCTGATAAAATATTTGAAACGATAAATAGAAAATTTTGTGATATCTATTTTAAGATGATCTTTTTTTATGTATTTATCTCTTACAGTTTCTTTGATTAATGAATTTGCAATTATTTTTTTTTTTCAGCGCAGAATATATTTTTAAAAAGCGGAAATACTTTAATAAAAAGGAAAAAAATTATAATATATAAATAAATATGTATTTTATTTGACTTAAGTGTTATGAATGTTGTATAAATAAATGTCGGATTTAAAATTTGTTACCCACAGTTAAAAATTGAAACACACAAAAATGTTGAAACCTGTATTATAAGCTGAAAATAACTGTCACTTTTTTAGTATAGCTCGATGTTCCTGAAGTAACTATTCTAAAGCTTATTGTTTTTTGAGTAAAATCAATTTTTATTTCATAAAATTTCTTACAATTTTTAATGTACCATTTTTTTTTTAAATAATAAAAATTATTATCAATTTTTCCAAATAAAATTATATCACAAAATTATTAATGAAATTAGTTTAAAATATTAAAAATTTTTTAAATGAAAAATTACAAAAAAACTAGAAATTGGTTTCGTAGGTTTTTATACATGCATAACATGCTTAGAAATGCATTTGCAACTTATTTAATGATATGTGATTTTATCATTAATTTTAGTGAAATTGCAAGTTACAAAAAAGTCGAAGACATAAAAATAGAAGTAACTCGTTTCAAGAGTAGAGAGTTAGAATAAAAAAAAAAATTTATCTCTTTTTTTTTTAAATTCAGTTTGTATTAGAAATTTCCAGTTTAGAATTTGTCTCTTGATATTCACGTTTATTGAATTTTCAAAATGATATTCATTTTAGTTATTTAATACTTTTCATTGATACTTGTAAAATTAAATAACAAATAGCGTCAATATGAAAAGGATCAAATTAATACCTGTGACAAGTATTAAATTACTATGTTCAATCTTTTTTTTTTTTTTTTAAACTACTTAAAGAAATCATTGTTAATGTGTTATCTATACAAATGTATTTTCATTCTTATCATTCTTATTTTGTTGAATTAGAATGCTTAACTTTACTAAGGTCGTAAGTAAAGTAGAACACATTCGTTTGGAGATAATCTAAAGAGATAAATTTGCAAAAAAAAAAAAATAATTATTATTATACTGAGTAAATATTAGATAATAAAATTTCGAATCAAAAGAAATCAAGAATAAATTTTTATTGAACAATTTTTTTTTTTCTAAAAATAAATTCCATAATTATTATCGGGAAATTGTCAAATTTTTCATATAATATAATTTTATGTGAGATTTATTTTTTCTAATAAAAATAAAAAAATTTTATTTTTCAATTAGAAAGAAAAAAATTACTTTCAATAAATTCTTATTAAATTTCTCAATGATAAAAATTTATTTTACAAAAATATATCATTTCTCTTCTTAGTTGTGAAATTCAAAACTTGATTGTAAAATTTCCTGCTAATGTTTATTTTCATGAATACTGTTTAATAATTATTAATGCATTTTATCTTGACTATTTTTAGCTATGCAAAGAAAAGAGACTATGCCTGATAGGGATGGAGTTTAGTGATCTCAAAACTTTTTCATTAATGCTCAAAGTTACAAATCGACGAATACATTTACTTCAAATATTTCAGGTATTCAACTTAAACTTCACTAAATTTTGTTTTATTATTATTGAAGTTACACAATATTTCTCTACGAAAGAAATAAAAAAAAAACAACCTCTAATAATTAGAAACTCTAAACAAGTTTTTTGTAAAAGGCATAATATTTTAAGTTTATTGTGTAAACGTATGCATAAATTTTGTTTTTTATTTTATAGAGTGTTTAAAAAATATGCATTGTAATCTTAATAATATTATTTTTTTTTTTTTCAATTCTTGAAAGAAATAAAAATTATCTCAGAAAATGATATAATAATGAGAACCAACGTATTTATCATGTCAAATAATTCATTTTGTCTCGTACATTAAATTATTTAATCTAATCTGTTAAGAATAATAATTTGTCTAAATTTTGTGGAAAAAAAAATACAGCCTTCGCTTTTATTTATGTATTCAAATTTTCATTATCGAAATTCACTTTTCTATATTTAAAATTATACTTTTTAATTATTCTAATTTAAATTATGCTAATTATTTTGATTTATATTTAAAATAATGTGTATTTTTTTTGAAAAAAGGCTCTTATGGACCATGGAATGAGAGTTTGCAATGAATTGGCAATTTGTTATGACGTCTGTTGCCTTGGTGTTAGAGAAAATAAAAATGCACGAGAGAAGATTATAAACTTGGGTCTTAAATTAGGAGGGTTTCTAAGTGAAGCTGGTTGGTACGTAGAAAGTGAAAGGGTGCTATTGGCTTGCAAGGAACTCTGTGTTTCTGAAGAAGAAAATCTTCAGAATTGGTGTCTTACTTTAGATTGTTGTCACAAGTGAGTATTTATTTTAATTTTCATTTACAATTTAATTATTCAATTTTATATAATTTTTTTTTAATTTCGAAATTTAATTAATTGTAAAAATTTATATTATTACTTATAATAAGAATATTTTTATTTTTAGATTACTTCACGCTCAAGCTGCATATTGTGCTTTTCGAGCTGCTGCAGAAACTTATCAATTGGCTGTTCGTACAGTTGACAAATTAAAAAATGCTGGGCATTCAAATGCAAATCATGCCGCTCTCTATGCCGAATTTAGTGTACTTTTCTATATTAGAAGTGAATATGATCGAGCGTATATGTAAGAATATTTATTTTCAATTTTATTATTTATTTTATATATATATATAAAAAAAAGAAGAAAAATAAAAATTGTAAATTTCTAGGTGGAGTATAGAGGCACTTAAGCAATTGAAACCATCACTTTCGGCGAGAATTAAAATCGATGTCTTACGTCAGGCTGCAATGTCATGTGTCGTAAAACGAGAATTTCAAAAAGCTGGTCTTCTAATTAAACAGGCTGTGTATCTCGCAAGAGAAGTATTCGAAACAGATCATCCAATTTACAGTGATGTTCTGCTTGATTACGGATTTTATTTGTTGAATTACGATAGTATCAACAATAGTGTGCAAGTTTATAAGGTAATTTAAAATAGAAAAAAAAAAATTAAAATTATCTACTAATATTTGTAAATCACTGGTATCAATTTTAGGGAAAATTAATATTTAATGATACATAAGAATTTTTAAATTACATTTCAATTAACAATTCTCCATTAGCTAAGAACTAAAAGTTTTAAAGAAAAAAAAAATATAATTTAATTTAACAATATTAAAAAAAAAAATTTATTTTAGTTTGCACTAGAAATAAGGGAAGCGATATTTGGAAAAATGAATTTACTTGTAGCGATAGCGCACGAAGAATTGGCGTATGCTTTATATGTACATGAATATAGTTCCGGGAAATTCGAACAAGCAAGGTAAATAAAATTTCATATTTTTAAAATATTAAACAAAATACTATAACAAAGTTTATATAATTTTTATAATACTATTATAAAAAATTATATAATTTTTGTGTATGCAAGTACTCTTGCATAACTAATAATTTATAATTACTTAAACTTTATTTAAGTACTGTTAAATAAAATATCAAACCAAAAAGATAAATGTATGTCTATAACAATAAAATTAAATTGTCCATCGATTGGAAAAAATTAAAATTTACAACTTTAGTCACACCTGTGAAATTGTAATTTTTTTTCTTCTTTACAGTTATCATGCGGGGAAAGCTATCGAAATAATGGACAAATTATTGCCTGTAGAGCATATTATGCTAGCTAGTACAAAACGTGTAAAAGCCCTAATATTGGAAGAAATAGCCTTAGACAATGAAAGAACACCATTATCTGAACAAGATCTTCTTTTAAAATCAGAAGGTCTTCATTTGTCTGCCCTTCAATTGGCAAGAACAGCGTTTGGCGAAAAAAATGTACAGACTGCAAAACATTATGGAAATTTGGGACGATTGTATCAAAGTATGAGAAAATTTTCGGTAAGTTTGAAAATAATTTTCTTCCTATTGAATTATATTCTGTTTTTCTGTATTTCTTTTTTTTTTTCTAGGAAGCAGAAAATATGCACTTAAAGGCAATTAGTATAAAAGAAGAACTTTTAGGACTTGAAGACTATGAAGTTGGATTAAGTATAGGACATTTAGCATCTTTATACAATTTTCACATGCATCGATACAGAGACGCAGAAAAACTGTATTTTCGAAGTATTGCCATTAGTAAGTTTTAAATTTAAAAAAAAACATTTATTTAAATAAATTTTATTTATAAAAATAAAAAATTAAATTTAGGAAAAAACAATTAGAAAATTATTTAATCAACAGGTTTAAAACTCTTTGGCCAAAGTTATAGTGGCCTCGAGTACGATTATCGTGGATTAATGCATCTGTATATGAAAATGGACGAACAAGATAAATTTTACGAATACACAAACGCTTTAGCCGAATGGAGGGAATTACGTGATAAACACGTTGAATCAGAGGACCCACCAATTGACCTTCATACACGCCCACAGCCAATAGAAGATGTAACAAGTGCATTCTTTGCAATGTGATAATGTGATATATATCCTTTTTCGAATTAACTATAATCTATTGCAAAAAATCACAAAATCATTATTACACGACTCAAGAGACTATTATTATTATTATTATTATTACTATTATTATTATTATTTTCAACCAGTGCGTTTCATCTCTCGTTCATTATAATTATATTTTACTCTCAAACTTCTTGAAAGTGATATACATAAATGTTTTTTCAGCATATCATTTACTAAAATCTCTGATCTCGTTTAGATGCTCAAAACCAATGTGAGAAATAAGAGCTTTTTCTTCTTGTCTAATGCGAAATAAAAAACGATTAGTTATTTTTTTTGTTAAAAAGCAAAACTAGTGCGGCCATTTAAATTAATTTTGTTTTATAACACAAAAAAAATGTATGACTGAAAATATTATATATAATAATAACTTTAAAGTTAATTGCAATTTTTAGATGAAAGTACTGATGGAAATGTTGAATGCAAAATTAATTATTAAATTTATATATATGAAAAAAAAAAATTATCGAATCCGATAGATTATTGAAACAAATAGATAATATAATGAGGGAAATTGTTTAAAAAGCTCATAATTTCTATATCAAAAATGGTATCAGAACATATTGTTCGCAAGACTAATATTATAATGCGCAATAATTAAGATAATGTGCGCGAACAGAAGTTAAAAAACTTTTTTTTTAAAAAAGAAAAAGAAAATAGTAAACAAATTGTTAAAATCACAATACTAGATATTGTACAATAGAAATTCAATTTTTCTTTTTATAACAAAAAATTTAATATAGAATAATAATAATAAAGAAAATAATAAAATTAGGTAATAAAAAAAAAATTGTTTATAGAAGAATTAGGGAATGTGGAAGATACAATCTTCGAAATAATTTATTAATAATTTTTTTTTTTTTTTTTTTTTTTCATCGAATTTTATTTGCTAATCAAATGCAAATTCTCACTTTTTTTTGTAATTATTAAATTAAATTGGAATTTTTTTTAGCAAAATTAGCGTTTTGCAAGAAAAATTCTTTATCTTTTAACCCTTTACAGCATTATTGTTTTTTAAAACAAATTTTTATTACAAACATATGTATAATAAAAATATGTTCCTTCGAAAATTGTAAATTGGTAGATTTTTTAAAACTTATTATAATTTAAAAAAGCGAATGTTTATCAAAATTTTAAGTGTAAAAAATAGTGATTTTAAATTTAATATAGTATTCTTTTTTTATGTTTCACAATAAAAATTTCTATGCTCAAAAAATGTGCATCAAAGGGTTAAAATATTAACATGTTCCAAAATTGGACAATATAATTAATGAAAAATAAATCTTGTCAATGTAGATACTCATAATATAAACGTGAAGCAGATTTTAAGGAATATTTTATATTTACACGCATAATATCGTTATGTTTATTACTGTATTATAAAGTCTTTTGTTTATTGTATTTGATATTAAAAAAAAAAAGAAATAAACTTTAAAGTGAAAGATTTTGATAAATTTAATTTTATAAATATAGGGTTTTGAAGTATCAAATTGAACTGATTAAATATTCACTTAACAAAAAAAAAAAAAAAAAAAAAAATGAAAAATTTTTTAATACTAGTATTTTAGCTGAATTTTGTATTATTGATGTAGTAAGACTTCGTAATTTCGTGTCTTTTAATTAAAATATTATAAATATAGAAGTTACAAAAATAAAAGTACTGTGTTAAAAATATTTTATTTATTATTGAGAAATTAGAAATTATTAAATATATATAGAAAAGAAATTGAAAAAAATATATTTAAAATATTTATTATTCATATAGGATAGAAATTAATTTTTTTTTAAATTAAAATTAAAAAATAAATATCCAAAAAATAATGAAATTATTGCGTAAAGATGTAATAACTTCCGTTTTTGTTTTTAAGTCTTAATCGTCCCAGTGAAAGTCAACGGACTCTCCATTTCTTCGTTTCATATTGAGAAGTAAGACATGTTTTCTTTGCTTTCATTTACAAAACATTTTACTCGTCCTTTCATTTTACTTCGTACAATTAATTTATTTAGAATTATAAATAGTGAATAATTAATATTCGATTTTTTAAATTAATAATAATAAAAAAGGAATAAAAATAATTGTCACAATAATTTCACGCAAATTTTTTTTTCAAATTTAATAATGTTGAAAGAAAATTCTTTTTTCTTTTTTTATTACTATTATTTTATGATTTTAATTTGTTTATGTCAGATTTGGAATTTTTTTTTTTTCCTCATTTGTGTATTTATGTGAAAAGATAAAATGAGGGTTTTAATATTATAACAAGCCAATTAGATGGGCCATAGTGTAAATGTTACATAAGAATTAATGATGCAAAATTACTCTATTTTGGTGGAAGAATAATTTTCAAATGCGCTTTTTCATGTAATACACGACAAATATTATATTCTTCCCGCAAAAAAAAAGTAAATTTAACAATTAGAAAATTTTTAAGAAGGTCGTCTATTGTTAAAATAGACTTCTTTGTGGGAATTATAATTAACGCGCCGCATAGAGAAATAGAAAAGAATTGTGTGTACTAATGACTCTTCTCTTTTGTGTTTATCTTGAAATTATTTCGTTTCAAGAAATTAAATTGTGTTTCGTTTATGAAAAAAAAAGGAAATCATTGAAAGTAATTTAAATTGTATAATATTATATTTAAATGGGGCATTTTTACTAAACATTCTTCTTTTTGTTTCAGGAATTTTGACTGAAATTTAAACGGAAATGGAAAAAAAACTTCATAAATTAAAATAACAATTGTAAAAAAAAAAATTTTCCATTTTATCTCTGCAACGGAGGTGAATAGGTAATTATGAAAAATTAAATAAGTAGTTTAAGCTACTGTTTATTATTTATTTATAATTAACAGTTAAATGTTGTGTTAATTATTATCAATTATTTTTTATTAAAAAAAAATTATTTTTTTCTAGAAAAAAATAACTTGGAGAGATATTGATAAATAAAAATTTCTTTTGGAAAATTGTTTTTATTTATTAAATTGGAATTTTTTTTTTCAAAATGATATCAGGAAGTTAATAATGGACTTTTAAATATATAATTAATTTTTTAAAGATGAATAGCTGTTTTTATTCATTAGTTTCTCGATCGAGTCACTAATTAAGAAAAAAAAAATTTTATATATTATATATTGTTATGCAAGTGGAAGATAATGCTTCTATTCTTTTATAATGTTGAATAAAAAAGATATTAACTTTTTCTTTTTTAGATTAATACAGTTGTATATTCTGGATGAATATATATATATATATATATATATATATATATATATATCTATATAAAATAATGCTACTCGAGCGTATCTCACGTCGGAAATCATAGTTGCGTGAAAAGAATGGAGTTTGGGCATCATTTTATGGGAAAAAAGAAAGAAAAAAAAAAACTGTTCTCTACGTATGGGACTTGTTTCACTCAGCGGCAAATGAAAGGGAACTCGAGATGAAGTATGAGATTTTCCAAAAGAATTTAATGAGCTGGAATTACTCGCCTGTTTTGCGGATGGATCACCCTCTGATTTGCTCTTCAACATTTATAAAAAAAAAAAAAAAAAAATATACTTCCTTACTCTTCATGATTTTTTATCGCGTAATTGCGGAATTTAAAATTTCTTTTCAAATGTCGCATTTATCACTTTTGCTTAATATTTAATTATTATTACTTCCTGTACTTCTATAAAAATCTTTTCTTTTTAATTTTTATAATTTTATATTTAAAACAACTTTTTGTGAAAAAATTTTTTTTTTAAATATTGTAATAATAGTATTGTTTTTAATATTATTAAAAATATTTTTAAAATATAATTTATATAAAAAAAAAAAAAAATAGAAAAATTTTTTTCTATAAATTTAAAATAGTTTTTTTTCAATAATAAAAAAATAATTATTTCACTTTTTTTTTGGTGAAATTCTTTTTATTTTTGAAATTAGAAGAAAAAAAACATTTACAACTTGTATTGACAACTATTATTTCAATATAATAGGTATACTTATTTTACTGGTACTCTTTTATTTAAACGTTGAAACATTCAATAATAATTGTAAAAAGAGATTTATCGTTTATGAAATTGCTTATAAGAAAATTATATTTTTAGAAATTAGAGATAATATATATTTATAATATTTATTGATAAAGAAGCGAACATTAAAATTTTATGAGAGACAAAACATCTTCATGAGGAGAAAAAAAAAAAACTATATTTTAAAAAGTAAGCATTAATTATTCTTAATTATTAATAATATAGACTTCTGTTTTAAAAGAGATTATATTTTCCAAAGGCTCTGTTATGAAGATAAATAAAATTTCATATACTAATCATAAGGTATTGAAATGTTACCTCTTTAAGAAGTTATATAAAAAGATTTGAATTTTTTTTTTTTTTTTGACTTTCTAATTTATTAACTGTTCGCCAAAAAAAAAAATTTAATTTATCAACGCGAAATTTTTTTCTTTTTTTTTTCAATCATAGACTTATTTGGTATAGAATTAAGGATGATTAATTTTAACGATTTCTTAATAAAGAGCTAATGATACTATAAAAAATAATCGAAAGTGTATTTTTTCTATTTGAATTTTTTTTTTTTTAAACTTTTTTTCTAAAAATGATAAAATTATTTAAAATTTAACGCGGGCTTTTATAAATTAAAAATATTTAAATATTCAAATAATTTATATTTATTATATATTTATTAAATTTTTTTTTAATATTTTTATTTAAATAATTATTTTTATGTACGAATTCGTTAAATAAAAAAAAGTATTAAAAAAATTATTTTTTCAAAATTGAAAATTATATTTTTTATTTTGATAATTTAAAAAAAAAATTATGTAACATTTGATGATACTATATATTTATGATTTCTTCACTCTCTTCTATAGAAAGTTTATCTATATTCCGTCTTTTCAATATTATTGATGGATTTCAGTTTTACGTTTGAAAAGTCAGCCATCAAATTACCACTACAGAGGTGAAGAAATTATTTAGTACCTGCCAAGAAGTTCTCTTTATTTTTCTCCAATATATATATAGAAGTATATATACACGCGAGGATAAACTAAATTTTATTCGCTTGGATATAATAAAGTTGTTCTAAGAAAAATAAAAATAATGGTTCAAATATTTATATAAATAAATATATATATATTATTTATTACTTTTATATACATATAAAAAAAAATGAAAAAAATGTTATATAAATTTTTAAAGGGTAGAAAAAGAAAAGAGAAATAAAATATAACGATAATAAACAAACTTTCATTTTGTATTTATATTTTATTTTCTTGTTGAAAAAAAAAAAAAATTTGCTACCGTTTGAGACAAATTTTCTTACTAATAATGATAAAAATAATAGAATTATATTATTAATGGATAATAAGTTAATATTAATGGCTGTATTATTATACTTTTTTTCTATTCATTGTTTATTAGTAGTAAAAGACAACTTTTGTTAGACGAAACATTTTTTTTTTTTATTTTCATTGGATAATTTCGTAATTAGTGGAATAAGTCAGTTATGACAATTTTTTTTCGATATTAAGTAGTAAAAGACAGTTTTAGTCAGATGAAAATATTTAAATTAGTTGTATAATCAATTTCAATCGGATAAATTTGTTTTTAATTCCTATTTTCATATAAATTAGTAGTAAGATACAATTTTAGTCAGACAATTAATTATTTTTTTTTATAAATTATTAGTAACGACCACTTTTAGTCAGATAAAAGATTTTAAATTCTTGTAAATTAGTAGTTAAATCCGTCATTTTCAGACAAAGCGCTTTGGATTTTATTTGCAGTTTTAATATATTAGTAGTAAACAAACATTTTTAGTCAGACAAATTATTTTTAATTCGTACAATAATATATATACAGTAGAAAAAACAGTTTTGGTCAGACAAAAAAAATTATTGGAAATTTTTTTTATTGATAAAATTAGTAGTAAAAGATTGTTTTAGTCAGACAAAACGTAGAAATTTTTGTGGTTGACTAAATTAATTGTGAAAAACAAATTTTGAAACAAAAAAAAAATATAAATTTTTCATAGTTAATTGAATTAGTAGTAAAGGATAGTTTTAGAAATTTTTGTAGTATATTGGTAGCAAAAAAAAAAAAAAATTTGGTCAGCCAAATAATATTAAAAATTTTTGTTGTTAATGAAATTAGTAGTAAAGGAAAATTTTAGTCTGGCAAAAAATATTCTAATTATTCGTATTAATAAAATTAGTAGTCAATGACAGTTTTAGCCAGACAAATATATAATAATGAATAAATTATAATAATAAACAAAAATATAAGACATTTTGTAAATTAATAAAATTAGTAGAAAAG